AAGTGTATATATGATTGGGTTACATCATTTGCATTTGTAAGATAGCACCCAAAAAGCCTGTGACGCTTAATTTTTTAATTGTGCAAACACATCTACAGTGGAGAAAAGGGAACACTTCTACACTGCTAGTGGGAATGAAAACTAATACATTTCTTTTGGAAAGATGTTTGGAGAACACTTAGAGAACTAAAAATAGACCCGCCATTCGATCCTACAATTCCTCTACTAGGTATATATCCAGAAAACCAAAAATCACACTACAACAAAGATATTTGTATCAGAATGTTTATTGCAGCCCAATTCATAATTGCTAAGTCATGGAAGAAGCTCAAGTGCCCATCGACCCACGAATGGATCAACAAATTGTGGTATATGTACACCATGGAATGTTATGCAGCCTTAAAGACAGATGGAGACTTTACCTCCTTCATGTTTACATGGATGGAGCTGGAACATATTCTTCTTAGCAATGTATCTCAAGAATGGAATAAAAAGTATCCGATGTGCTCAGCCCTAGTATGAAACCAATTTATAGCTTTCATAGGAAAGCTATAACCCAATTATAGCCCTAGAATATGAGGAAAAGGGAAAGAGGGGGAGGGGAGGGGGAGGATAGGTGGAGAGAGGGTAATTGGTGGAACCACACCTACCTACAGTGCATCTTACAAGGGTACATGTGAAACTTACTACATGTAGAATATAAATGTCTTAACACAATAACTAAGAAAATGCCATGAAGTCTATGTTAACTAGTTTGATGAAAATATTTCAAATTGTATATAAAACCAGCACATTGTACCCCATGACTGCTTTAATGTACATAGCTATGATTTAATAAAAAAATAAAAAAACTCCTAAAGTAACAGTGGTAAGTTGTCAATAGTAAGACTTGTAAAAATATATGTGTATACCTATAATATGTATGTGTGTGGGTAAACACATTTACATATAGATGTATATGCATAAAATATATAATACAATACAAATGCTCCCTGACTTATGATGCTTCAAATTACAATTTTTCCACTTTTACAATGGTTTGAATGCAATCCCATTCAGTAAAAAAGGGACTTCAAGTACCTGTACCGCTGTCCTATTTTTCATTTTCAGTACAGCATTCAACAAAGTACACAAATTATTCAATACCTTTTTCATAAAATAGGGTTTATATTAAATAATTTTGCCCGATTGCTGGCTAATGTGTTTTAAGCACTTTTAAGGGAGGCTAGACAATGCTATTATGCTCAGTAAGTAAGACGTATTAAATGCACTTTGACTTAGAACACTTTCAACTGAATATGGGTTCATCAGAACGTATTATAACTCCATCATAAGTCAAGAAGTAACTATTGGAACATTATATGCAGTGTATGTAATATATGCACATCTATTCACATGTGTATGTGTATATGCAGATAAATTATGTCTAGATACATACATTTTCTGCATATATCTTTTTTATACATACATATACGGGTGCATCTTTGGTTAAGTGATTTATATTTCCCTATGTGTGATTTTGTGAGTGACATTAACAAGACCTATTTATATAAAAATCCTTTTCTTACAACATTTCCCACTGTAAACATCTCAATCCCTTATCTCATTTTTAAAAAAAATTTCTGGTGGATGTCAAATGTGATCTTAGAAGAAAAAGTAAGGCCCAAGAAGATCAGGAAAGTACAACTGTTTTTACCAAACTGGGGCATTTTGAAACTAAGAAAGAGGCAATTTTTTAAATTACGCTATGACAACAGGCCAGTAATGGCTCATTATACACAAAGCACTCAGCATATTCAGCCTACAAAAATTTAGCTTTCATAAACATGGTGTGGAAAAAGAGGCTGATGGAACCCGACTTCTTTCCTTTGGTTCTACTGCTGGTCTTCATTTGGATGGTGCGTGGGTTGAGTTTCAGCATCAGCAGAGACAGCACATTCTTCTCTCAAAATCACTGCTCCCTCAGGCACTTGGATCACTTTTCAGTAAACGGCTGAATCACATCTCAAGTCTTATTCCCAATATTTCCCTCTCTAAACTTTACCCCACCCCCACACACATACTTTAATGCAGGCCTGGTTCCTGAGCTGCAGCAGATGGGAAAAGGGAAAAAATGATTTCACTAGAGTTTATCGTGTGTCCTAAACCAGTTTTTCATGTTTGACTAACATTTTTATTCACATATTTAAAGTATACTTTTCAGAAAAAAAGGGGGGGAATCCAGATGTTATCTTATCTCTGTGGTGGATATGTCTATCCTTTTTTTTTTTGAGACAGAGTCTCACTATGTGACCCTTGGTAAACTGCTGTGGTGTCACAGCTCACAGCAACCTCAAACTCTTGAGCTTAAGCAATTCTCTTGCCTCCGCCTCCCACATAGCTGGGACCACAGGCACTTACCACAATGCCAGCTATTTTTTGGTTGCAGTTATCAATGTTATTTTTAGCAGGACCGGGCTGGGTTTGAACCCACCAGCCCTGATACATGTGGCCAGTGCCCTAGCCGCTGCGCTACAGGTGCCAAGCCAGATACGTCTATCTTTTAACATGTTTTTCTTTAGACATTTTCATTCCAAAATCTCTTCTATCTTTATTTAGTATCATTCATCACAAAGTGTATCTCTGATAAAAGGATCTCTTTGGATCATTTTCCCATTTCTAGAAAAAAAATCTTATGTTTCAGTACCTCAGCACAATTTTTACATATGCTTATTTGCTTGAGGGAAGATATGAGTGAGAAAAGCTCTGCCCTTCTTTTTCTTGAGCATAAAATGAAAAGCTAACTTTAGCATTAGAATTTATTTTAGCCTAGGACAGGGGTCCTCAAACTTTGTAAACAGAGGACCAGTTCACTGTCCCTCAGACCATCGGAGGGCTGGACTGCGGGCCCCAGGACCAGTAGGCTGCTAAGCAGGGCAGGCAGTGGCAGAAAAATACCCAGCGGGCTGAATAAATGTCCTAGGCAGCCTGCATGTGGCCTGTGGGCCATAGTTTGAGGACGCCTGGCCTAGGATATCAAGAGACTGCAAATAGCAAACTTTCTTGTCTTCCCAAAATTCCTTCCAAAGTGAAATGTTCTTGGATTGTTCAAACCTAACTTCATAGTTGTTACTTCTGTCTCAGATTGTGTGCTTCACTCTTTATGGAGTTGGGACACTTTGTTTCAGCTGCCCACAAAACCACTGTCAAGAAAATGCTCAGTGACCTTTAAAATCCTACCTTTCAATTACCCCATCAGAAGGACCAAAAGAAAATTGACTTCTAATGAACCACAAATAAGATCAATAAACCATCAAAAGTTAGATCCCAAGACAACCCCTCATCAAATTTTATTTTCTTCATCTTCCTCAAAGGAACCATGCCTTGAAGTTCTCCATCTGCTAATGAACTCCTAGGGCTTGTGTCCCTGTACTACATCCGATTAGCAATGCAGATAATTAGCATTTCCAGAATGGCAGTGAGTTTGGCAGCTGCAGAGGTTGGCCTATGCCATCCATCATCCATTCCCAAGGGAGGAAGTCACCTCATTGAAGTAGTCTAATTATGGCCATCTGTCCAAACGGTATGGTGGCTGAGGATTAATCCAGCCAACACAGAAAGTTCCAGGCTTTAAGAAAGCGCAGAGTTTTGGGAAGTAGTTACCTGGATGTGTGCCTCACGTGTTGCAAAGAGCTCCTCATTCTTCACCACTCCCTGTGATTGATGAGGTGGTTGCACACCTACCCGCTGTCTCAGTCTTCTCTCCTGAGAGTCGCCATCTTTCGCTCAAGGCACTTTTAATAATACCCACAGTAGCATCTTGTTTTGACTCTAGTGAGCTTTTGAAATTTTTCCTATATTCTGAAGATCAAGAACCAGTAGGCATTTCTATAATGCAGCCTGTCATTGTGTGTTGTTTCACCACACACATCTAAAGCAGATTCCAATTTGAGTTAGTATCATTGAAGCTTAAATATAAACAGAAATAGAATGAAGTGGAATAAAAAAATTCCAAATATCTAGTACTTGACTTTAGAATGTTGTAGTATCTGACTATTCTTTACTGTCCGTACCTGCCTGTGCTCTTACTCTGTAAACAGATGGACTATTTTGATCCAAATCTTGACGGCATATCATTTTATCAGTAAATAGCTTGTCTTTATAAGAAAATAAGATTTTTACATTAAAAAAGCATAAAATATCAAATAAATGTTCATATTTTCAGAATTTTCATACCTTTCTCTCTCTGCCTCTCTCTGTCTTCTCCATTCTCAACTACACTGTCTTTCTTCATTTGACTAGTTCAAACCAGAAGTCAAATGGTGTGAACACACTGCCTTTGGTTGTTATATCACCAAAATTTCTTATAATTTATCATTTCCTCTTTCCTCTATCTTAGAATAGTTTATCACATTTCCTTTTTTCCCCCTCTGCATGCAGCTCCCAGCATCTTCTTATTCTGAAATGACAGGCAGGATTTAATTTCATCATAAGTAGTGTTTCAGTAAGGAGACCGTAGCTTTACTGAGATCACCTAATATTAGTAAGGATGTCTCATATACCAAAGGGATAGCTTCATTTCTTCTAATTTATTTCCATATGCCAAAAATATAGCTTTATTCCTTCTAATTTATTCAAAGGGTCTCAAACAAAGCAAATTTTGGGGAGAACCAAGATGACTACAAGCATGGAGAAGAGTGGGAGTTACAGCATCAGGAAGGCGCAAAAGCTTATGCAGATCTTCCACTCTTGTTTGCTCGGTGTTAGGTGATCTAACTGTATTAGAATTATGTGGATCATTACAAAAATTTTGAGATACAGGAAAATCAGGAAACATAAATCCTCATGAACAGAAACAAATGATGCCCTTCCAGCAACACCAGTAAGCTGAGCAAGTTGAAACTTGCATGGGAGATTCAGAAAGGATGCTGTCATATGTGTTTCATGGAAATGAAATTAGGGACCACAACATAGTCTGTCTCAAAACTTTCATAGTGACTTATGTATGTATCATTTTAGAAAAAGATTTGACCCTGGTGAAAGTTCCAAAATTGCCTCTGGTAGAACACAGTTTCATGCAAAACTTATCATGCAGAAAGGCTCCAGTTGCACAAATATCTAGATTTCCATTGATTTTTCTAACTATATTTTGAACTGATAAAAACAGACACTATGCTTGATCTTAGCCAAAAGGCCAAGAAGTGATCTCTAACTATATTTTGATAATAGCCACCAGTGAGGTAACAAGAGCCAGATCTTATGGGAATTTCTTTATTAACAGTTTATTTTTTATTATCTTATTATTTTTTATTTTTTTTGGCCGGGGCTGGGTTTGAACCCACCACCTCCAGCATATGAGGCCAGCACCCTACCCTTCTGGGCCACAGGTGCTGCCCAGGAATTTCTTCTGGCCATTGAAGATCAAGGTTTATTATCTGAGACAGGTGGTAAACTATTGGAGAACCCTCATTTATGGTATAATGTCATCTGATATATGTTTTAAAAGGTTGATTCCGGCTGTTTGTAAGAGAATAGATGTAGGGAGACAAGAACGAAAGGTAGAAGACCACGAGAGACCATTTCTTACTAGAGAAAAGTCAGAGTGTCTGGGCATTTGATGGAGGCCTAGGAAACCATTGTTCAAACTTCATCACTTTTACAAGGAGAGAAAGCAATACCCCTTGAGGTAAAAGTGGTTTGGCCACTTTAAGAGCCCCCAATAGAAAAAGTTCAGTCTTCAAATATATGGTGTAAAATATAGTTCTAAATACTTTCAACAGAAAACACTTGCATTAATTTTTTGACTAAAATACCTTATGAAGTCTTGATTCTCAGATTTCAAATATTCTGACCTATGTATGACATATAAGTTCCTCACCAAAGAGCTGGTGATTAACGATAAGTACCAATAATGGTTACTGGGTGGAGAGCAGAGAATTAGATGGGAAACTCCTCTTTGTCTTCTGATTGCCCAACCAAATTCTTTTCATATTCTTTCCCAGTAAGAAACCACCTATCTAAGCCCAGAGTCCTCACATCCTTTGTAAAGTCCTATAAAACTTATTGCATATGCCACCATGTGAATCTGACATGGAATTTTTTTCCTCAGGTTTGCCTACTCCATTGAAATGTTAAACTCATGAAAATCATAAGGTATTGTTTTCTCTTAATACATAATAAAATTTAAATGCAGGGAAGTGAAGACTTTGCTAACAAATAATGGTACAACATGTACAGAGCATTTTTTTGCACAAATATTAGGTTGAACCAAATGAAATTGCCAGTGTTCAGATTTTTTGACCTACAAAATGTCAGTTTTAAATGGCTCCATCCATTACAAATCTCATGCTCCTTCCACTCCACTTTCTGGAAGATAGGAGATATTAAATGCCTTTTTGTTCTCCCATGGCATTCATCATCTTTCAGACATGGACTTAGTCATCACTGTCACTGTGGAGCCTTTATGATCTGTTGTAATCTTTATTGTAATGCAAATGTCTAATGGGCATACATATATAGCCCATTAGACTATGATATATATATATATATATATATATATGGATGTATATATATATTATATATACATCCATTAAGCTATGAATATCTTAAAGGCAGAGATGACCTGTTATTTTACTTGTATTACTAGGAATCAGTGTAGTGACCAGCCAGAGTTGATGCTCCCAAATTCTCTTAACAAATCTCGTGATAAAACAGGAATGATATTTATTGGAGCAGCCATGCTCATTTGTTTACATATTGTATATGGCTGCACTCTGACATTTGATGTCGCTTGTTTCCTGTGAGCCTCCAGCCAGCTTTCTCCACATCTGGACTATCTGGTGGATTTAGAGGAACAGAAATAAAAATAATATGAATAAAAAAAAACAGGAATGATAAGCAGTTTTTAATATAATTTTTATTTCAAAATATTAAGGGGGTACAAGTGTTCATGATACATGGATAATATGTACAATTCTGAAGTCATGGCTCTCAGTGTGCCTGTCACCAGAATAGTGTATATTGCACCAACCAGATACGTTTTTATCCCTTGCTCTGCTCCCTTCTTGGTGTCCAGCATCTTTTATACTACCCTATGACCGTGTGCACCCATAGTTTTGACTTTACTTACTAGTGAGAACATGTAGTGTTTGTTTTTCCTTTGTTTGGGTATTTAGAATAATGTTCTCTGGTTCTATCCACATTGCTGGAAACAATGATATTTCATTCCTTTTTATGTCTGAGTAGTGCTCCATGGTACATATACACTACATTTTCTTTCTCCACTTATCAGCTGATGGTCTTTTAGGTTGATTCACATCTTTGCAAATGTGGGTAATTGTGCAACAATAAACATTCAGGTACAAGTGTTTTTTTCCTTTGGGTAGATACAAACTAGTGGGCTTGTTGGATCAAATGGTAGGCCTACTTTTAGTTCTTTGAGGAATCTCTACACTTTTTTCTTTTTTTTTTATTTTTTAATTTTTTATTATTACATTAATACAAACATGGGGTACCGTGTAGTGTTTTCATACACATTTTGAAATACTTTCATCAAACTGGTTCACATAAATTTCATGTCATTTGCATAGTCATTGTGTCAAAACATTTACATTCTAGTTCTAGAAAAGATCATTTGTACCCTTGTTAGACAGAAATATAGGTGATCTTTCCGGTTACCCTCCCACCACCCAGCCACCCTTCTCCCCTCCCCTTCCCAACCCCCTCCCCATATTCTTGGGCGAGAATTAAGTTGTTTCTTTCATTTGAGAAGTATATATTAGTTTCATAGAAGGGCTGTGTACATGTGACACTTTGCTAAGAAGAACATTTTCCAGTTCCATCCATGTAAACATGAAGGAGGTAAAGTCTTCGTTTTTCTTTAGGGCTGCATAGTATTCCATGGTGTACATATACCACAGTTTATTGACCCATTCATGGATTGATGGGCACTTGGGCTTCTTCCATGACCTGGCAATTATGAATTGGGCTGCAATAAACATTCTGATACAAATATCTTTATTGTAATGTGATTTTTTATCTTCTGGGTATATACCTAATAGTGGAATTGTAGGATCAAATGGCAGGTCTATTTTTAGTTCTCTAAGTGTTCTCCAGATGTCTTTCCAAAAGGAACGTATTAAATTGCATTCCCACCAGCAATGTAGAAGAGTTCCCTTTTCTCCACATCCACACCAGCAACTCTGGTTTTGGGATTTTGTGATATGGGCTAATCTTACTGGAGTTAGGTTGTATAAATGTACATTGTCAAAACAGAGTATAAAAATTCAGGCCAACAATTATAGTTTTTGATTTTTTAATAATGGCCATTCTTATAGGGGTACAGTTATATTTCATTTTGTTTTTGATTTGCATTTCCCTGATAAATACATGATTTTTTCATGTCTGTTGGCCATTTATATATCTTCTTTTGAAAAAACTCTGTTCATGTCTTTTGCCCAATTTTCAATGAGGTTATTTGTTTTTCCTTACTGATTTGCTTGAGTTCTTAGTAGATTCTGAATATTAGCCCTTTGTTGAATGTAAAATTTGTGCATATTTTCTCCCATTCTGTATGTTGGCTATTTATTTCCTTTGCTGTGCAAAAACTTTTTAGTTTAATTAGGTCCCATTTATTTTGTTGTTATATTTTTCCTTGGTGTCTTAGTAATAAATTCTTTGCTTAGGCTGATGTTTAGAAGCGTTTTTCTCATGTTTCTTCCAGAATTTGTATGGTTTTAGATCTTATGTTTAACTCACTCTTAATTTTTGTAAGTGATGACAGTGGCATTTCTGTGCCATTCTTCTGTACATGGTAAACAATTTTCCTAGCACCATTTATTGAACAGTGGACCTTTCCCCAGTGTATGTTTTTGGTTGCATCATGAAAAATCACTTGGCCATTTCTAGATGGGTTTATTTCCTTTGATCTATGCCTCTATCTTTAGTCAAGTACCATGATGTTTTAGTTACTTATAGCATATTTCAACGCCTTATAACACAATTAGATGTCAGATAATGTGATGCCTCCAAGTTTTTTCTTTTTGCTTAAGAGTGCTTCAGTGATTCAGGCTCTTTTTTGATTCCATATGAAATTTAAGATTATTTTGTCTAGGTCTGTGAAAAATACTGTTGGCATTTTGACGGTAATTACACTGATTCTATAAATCAGTTTGGGCAGTTTATGGCAATTTTAACAATGTCATTCTTCCAATCTATGAGAATAAGATGTTTTCCCATCTATTTGTGGTTATCTATGATGTCTTTCATCAGTGTATTTTTAGTTCTCTTTATAAAGCTCCTTCATCTCCTTGTTTATGTACATTCCCAGGTATTTTATTTTTGGTAGCAATTATAAATTTTATTGTGTTCATAATTTGCCTCTCAAATTGATTGTTACTAGTACATAGAAATGTTACTGACTTATGCACATTAAATATGTAACCTGAGTCTTTGCTAAATTTGTTTATCAATTCTAGGAGCCTTTTGGCAGAGTAATTCCTGTTTTCTAGATACAAGTTCATATTGTCAGCAAAGAGGACTACTTAGATTTCTTCTTTCTGCATTTGGATGCTTTTCATTTCTTTTTTTTTTTGCCCAATTGCTGTGATGGGGTGTCCAACCTGTGGTCAATGGGACACATGCAGATTATTTGAGAACTGTATTGCTTATCTATGGCATCAGATATCACAAAATATGCATGGACCTTTTCTTTTCCTCATCAGCTTTCGTTTGTATTTGTGTATTTAATATGAGGCTCAAGTGTATGGCAGAAAAGAAAAAGGGTTGAACACCTCTGGTAGGACTTCCAGTAATATGTTGATTAGAAATGGTGACGGTGGGAACCCTTGTCTCATTCCAGGTCTTGAGGGAATGCTTTCAAGTCTTTCCCATTGAGTATGGTACTGGTCGTGGGCTGTCTTATATAGTTTTTATTACTTGAGGTATGTTCTCTATGTCTAGTTTTTTGATGGTTTTTATCATGAAGGGGTGCTGGATTTTATTGAATGCTTTTTCTGCATCTATGGAGATGATCATAGGATTTTGTTTTACTTCTGTTTAAGTACTGATCACATTCATTGATTTGCATATGTTGAGCCATCCCTGCATCCCTCTGATGATTATGGTGGAGTATTTCTTTTTTTTTTTATTTCTTACAGCATAAGTGTGTACATTAAAGCAATCATGGGGTACAGTGTGCTGTTTTCA